AACCAGAGGGATAGAGAGGGGAAGAGGGGCAGCGAGAGGGAAGGTTGCACTAAGAGAGAGGGAGAGTGGGGCAGAGTGTGGACAGAAGTTGGGCAGAGAGGGGGAATTCGGGGCAGAGAGATGGAAGGAGGGGCAGCCGGAGGGAGGGAAGGGCGGTGGGGTGGAAGGAGGGGCAGGGATGAGTGAATGCAGGGCACAGAGAAGGGGGAAGGGGCATAGAGAAGCGAGATCGGGGCAGAGTGAGTGAAGGCGAAGCGTTTAGAGAGAATGACGGTCATAGAGAGAGAGGGATATTGGGGCAGAGAGTGGGGAAGATGGTCAGAGAGACGTATGTTGTGGCTGACTGAGGGAAGGAGGGGGAGGTGGATGGAAGGGGGGCAGCTATAAATGACTACGGGGCAGAGAGAAGGTAGGAGGTGCAGAGAGAAGTGATTGCGAGGCAGAGTGAGAGCACGCGGCGAGTGAAGTGGGAACTAGGGACGGAGAGAGGTAAGGAGGGGAATGGAGGGGGACAGTGGGGCAGAGAGAGTTAGGGAGGGCGGGGCAGAGATAGGGAATGCGGGGTCAAGAGAGGGTAGGAGGGGCAGAGAGAGGGACGTTGGGGTATCGAGCGGGAATGGCGGAATACGGCACCTGAGAAAGTAAGCGGCAAAGGAGGAATGGCAGGTAGAGAGAGGGAAAGAGACAGAGCTAAGGAGGTACTGCGGGGTTGAGAGGGAACGATACGCACATAAGGAGGAATGGAGGGAAGAGTGAGGGAATTTGTAGCAGCGTTGGAGGAATGCGGGGTGGAGAGGGGGGAAGTGGTGCAGAAAGAGGGAATTCGGGACAGAGACGTTGAGGGAGGGGCTGAAAGGTGGAAGGAGGCGCTGCGAGCAGGAAGGTGGGGCTGCTAGCGGGAAGGAGGGGCATAGGAGGGGGGGGGGGGGGGGGGGAGGTCGCGTGAGGTGAGCGCGGGATTCAGAATAGTGTATTCGGGGCATAGGGACCACATGGGGGTAATGTAGGGGTAAATTTGGGCAGAGAGTAAGGGAGATTGCGGCTGGGAGAGGGCAAGTGGGGCAGAGTGAGGAAATTGGGGGCATGGAGAAAGAAATTGGGACCGAGGAAGGGAAATTGGGGCAGAGAGAGAGAACGAGGGGCGGAGAGAGGTGATCATGGGGCAGAGCGAGGGAACGAGGGGCAGAGAGAGGAATGATGAGGCATAGAGGCTGGGGGAGCGGGGCAGAGGACGGAAAGGGATTCACTGAGAGAGAGGCAGCGGGGAGATGAGGTGCGATCTGATGCACCTAACTACTAGACCACCCCGCTAGCCCCACCCCTCCCCCGCCCCCCTCCCTAACCCACCCCACCGGCCCCACACCCCCTAAACCGATACCCTTATTGCATCCCGTAAGTGCAGACGCTACAAGATTATCAAGGCAGCGAATCCGGCGTCTTTGCTGAGACTCCCATCCGCATGGGCGTACTTCACCACGACGGCCTGCTTCTCAGTGTCGGAGCACCGTGCCATGATGCAAGTGCTGCCCCTCATCATCGACCTCCCCAAGCGCGCCGATATTCGACATGCCATCATGATTATGTCGGACTGGTACAAGGAGTTTATCCGGGCTGAGTATCACACCGATGCCACGCTTGAGCGCATGGAGGAGGTCTCCTGCGAGTAAGTCTAGCGTGAATGGGTGTGGGTGCCATGCGCATAGGGAAGGAGGGACAGTGAGATGGCTGAAGGGGTCGAGGGAGGGATTAAGAGGCAGTGTGTGGGAAGTAGGGTGCATAGAACGGGGGAAGAAGGGAAAAGATAAGGAAAGGGGGGCAAAGCGAGGGAAAGAGGGGACGAGGGAGGGAAAGAGGGGACGAGGGAGGGAAAGAGGGGATGAGGGAGGGAAAGAGGGGACGAGGGAGGGAAAGAGGGGAGGGGGGGGAGGGAACGATGGGCTGTGGACTTTTCCGCATGCGCTGAAAAAGGGAAGGAGGGGCATAATGACGAGAGGAGGGGCTTAGAGTGGGGGAATGGAGTGGCAGAAACATGGAAGCTGAGTTGTGAGTGGGTGGGGGGGGGGGGGGAGATGAGAGGAGGGGGGAGGGTTTGAGAGAGGGTAGTAGTACATGAACCCGGGTATGGGGCATTGTATGTTGTTTGTGGCTGAATTGTTGTTTATATGCTTACGCACGCTAAACCGATCCCCAACACCCAATGCCCCTATCCCGAACCTTTCAATCCACCCGAACACGTCCTCTCCAGGATGGTCGATGCGCTTGTTCTAGCATTCGACAACCAGAAGTCGAAGTGGCTTATTATCAAGGTGCATCTTGTATCGCACCTCCCGCCTACGATCCGTGCACGGGGATTGCCACAGGAGTACTCGTCGAACCAGTACGAGCAGTCCCACAAGACAACAGTGAAGCGCCCTTCTCGCGGCACCAACTGGAAGGGTGTGGAGGATCGCATTGTGAAGAAGCATATCGAGCAAGCCGTTGTTCGACAGCTGTCTCGAGCCTTCGGCGGGGACAAAACATACGAGACAGCCATGAAGGAGGTGAGCCTGTGTACGACCTAAGGCCGATCTTGCCCACCAATGTTCCCCGCCTGCTCCTGCCGCATGAAACCCTCTATCACCTCGTGTTTTTGTTTAGACCCTGCCTCTTCCCTTCCTCCCGCTGCCCCCCTAGACATCCCTTCTAGCATCCACGTGCTCACCATCATGTCCACCCATGAAATGCCTCTCCCGCTGCCCCCCTTGACATCCCGTTTTGCATCTACATGCTCGCGTTCTTGTCCACCCATCGCTCCTTCCACTAGCTGCCACCCTTCACATTCCGTCTTGCCCCACATGCTCCCCCACTTATCCACCCATGCCCCTCCCCCGGCCCCCGTGGGACTATCCGTCGTTCAGACCCCCAATGCTCTCCTACTAGTCCACCATATACCTTCGTGCTGCTAAACACATCGCCCCTTGGTTCCCCCCCCCCTAAACCCATATGTCCATCCCCGACACTTCCCATTCCCTCCTGCCCTTTGTCTTTCCTTTGCCCTCCCTTGATCTACACTTGTCCACCTATGCTCCCTCCTCTTGCTGCACCCTTTGACCTCTGGAACTGCCCCACTATACTAACCGACTGGTCCCTAATCTTTGCTCCCTCTCACTGCTGCCCCCGTTGTACTCAAGTGCTGCCCCTCTCCTGCTGCCCCCCATGTATACCATGCACCCATCACCCTCCTACCCAGGCTTGCACGCTTGGGCGTCGGGTGCTGACTAAGACACACAAGAAGATGGCCGTGGGGCATATCATGGATGATGTGTTCAGGAGCTATGTCCTTGTTCACGGAAATGAAGCGATGGGCTACTTGAAGAAGCGGCTGGCCAGGGAGGGAATTCACGACCAAGTGCTCAATGTGAGAATCAATATGGTGCTCAATGCGGGAGAATCAATGTGAGAATCAACTGCCATGGCCACGTAGACCTGTTAAACGCGGGCCATCAACCTCCTTAATAGGCCGAACCCAGGCATGGCACCCTGCTGTATCCACGCACCCGTCAGCACCCCATTATCTCAACCCTAACACAAACTTCCATTGTTGTGCTGCGACCCCTGCTTGCCTATTCGCAGGTGCATACTGCCATGGCAATCCCACCGCACGACTGGATGGAGTGGACCGAGAAGGGGCAGTTTGTCAAAGCAAGCCCTTCCGAAAGGCACTTTTCGGATGTAGCCATAAATCCAGCTGGCAAAGGGGCCAACTGGTACGGCCGCTGCTTGATGCTGTTCCATTACGTGAAAGATGGCATGGCAAAAAAAGCCGCCTACATCGAGTACTACACGGAGGATCGGCGAGTCTGCCGATACACTGGCTGCAAACGACTGTTGCCCACGAAGGGCACCTTCAACTATGCATTTGTAGATGCAGATTGCCTTCTTAGCATCGTGCATGTTGTCCCGTGCTGCAAAGACCCTGCTGTGAAGCTGCTGAATAGGTTCATCTGGTGATGCAAATTAAGTAGCAACTATGTCAGTTTACCATAACCTTCTTTGATTGTGAAACACGCTTTTAAGCCACCTTATTATTGTCTCAACAATTAACATCTTACAAACATTCCATTGTAACACCACAAAACCATTACTAAAACGTCACCAAAACGTTTGGTCTGACAAGAATGCTATACAAACGATTCGTAGATGATTCCTGGATGATTGTCAAACGATTTTCGGAAACTTGCTTTTAAAAAAAATGGTCAGATGATTTCCAGACGCACACATTTTTGTGATGTATGTCCTTTAGAACCTATGTGGAGAGTATACTCATGTAAATCATTTGTGCAATGGATGTTGAAAGTCTTGGTAGGTTCGAGTTGGTATGAATTTGAGATAGTCCCATTTGATCCCAAGTTGGTGTGGTTGGGTAGGAGCTCTTGCTGGTCCTTTGGGAATGTTCTAGAGGAATCCTCCATACAGCCAAAAATAGCAATAATTATGGCAGGATGTGCACCACACTTGACTGTACCAACTTGTCATTGTAGCTTCAACATGAATGTTCGCACTAGTCATGACAAAAAACGTCCAGCTATCAGTCAGCGTCTGAAGTTTCAGTGCCAGAATTCTCTCCTCGCTGAATCCTCCCTCAGGGTTTCTCCTTTTGAACTCAAATTCCCACACCCCGATGTACCCCTTCTAACCCCTCTCGACCACTCTGGTGCTGCTCTCAACCCCTTCGTTTCCAATCACTCTCTTCAACAGAACCAATGTTGACGACGACCTATTAAACCCCTCTCATATGGGCCTTCTGACTTCTGTATACCCCACCAAACCGCAAGCTTTTAGACCTAAGCCCTGAAAATTGACTCTTACCCCTCCCCCCTCCCGCCCCCCATTCCTGTTCCTTCCGTTTCAGTCACTTGAACAACACCTATACAAATGACCTCTCCTGGTGTAATGGTGACTGGGGTGAGTGGTGAGTGGGGTGAGTGGGGTGAGCGGGGTGTGTGAGGTGAGTGAGGTGAATGGGGTGTGTGGGTGAGTGGGGTGAATGGGATGAGTGGGGTGAGTGGGGTGAGTGGGTGAGTGGGGTGAGTGGGGTGAGTGGGGTGAGTGGGTGAGTGGGGTGGGGTGAGTGGGGTGAATGGGTGAGTGGGGTGAGAAGGTTGAGTGGGCTGTTTGGGTGAGCAGGGTGTGTGGGGTGTTTGGGTGAGTGGGTTGAGTGAGCTGTACGAGCCAATGCCCAAGGCGTGCCCTTCTCAGACTGGCATTTGGAGTTGACGCCACAGCGGATGTGCTGTTGCGGATGGAGAGAGCGGAGGAGAGGGTGAGTGGAGGAGGGGAGGAGCGAGAGGGAGTGAGCGGTGTTGGGAAAGAGGGAAGAAGAGAGTTGGAGAGAGGGAAGAGTTACAAGGGAACTCAAAGGAGCTAGTCGCAACAGCAGAGTGGCGTTTGGAGTTGCAGCCACAGCAGATGTGCTGCTGCTGGAGGGTATGGGTGTGTGGAGTGAGTGGGGTGGGGTGAATGGGCTGTTTGGGTGAGTGGGGTGAAAAGGGATGTTTAAGTGAGTGGGGTGAATGGCTGGTTGGGTGAGTGGTGTGTGGGGTGTGAGGTGTGGGGTGTGGCCCTGCCCTGATTTTGAGGCGTCCTAAGGCCAACACAGCACAGCTTGTTCAGGGAGGTCCGAATGCCCGGATAAGCTGAAAAAGCTGTGCTGAACAAGCTATGATGGGTGACCCAGCACAGTTTGTTCCCGCTTTGGCCTTCTGACAGCTCTGTGGAGCTGATGAGGTGAGGCTTGCCTCTGATGGAGGAGAGTGGAGTGGAGTGGTGTGGAGTGGAGTGGAGTGGAGTGGAGTGAAATGGAGTGGAGTGGTGTGGACTGGAGTGGAGTGGAGTGGCTTGGAGTGGAGTGGGGTGGAGTGAATGCTCACTCCTTCTGCATGCTCAATCCCCTCTTAAACCCTCCCCATATTTTACTCACCCCCGCAACCTTACTTACCCCCGTAAGCTCTGCTCCTTTCTCTCAGGCTGCACGGGTGGCATGTGTATTAAACTGCGACCTCATCCCCGTTTCTCCACCTCTCTCCCACTCTCCTTCCGCCACTTTCTCTCTCCCTTCTTTCCTTCTAGCAGTAGCCAGAGCATCCCTCCCTTGGCCACAACTGCCACATCATGAGTCGGAGGTGGCAGCATCGCCCTGCCTGCTTCTCACCCTTCCAATCCTCCGCACTCCCCTCCAGCCTATCCCACTTTCTCTCACTGTTCCACTTTCACCTCCTCGTGTGCTCTTTCCTCCTGCTGAATGTACCAAGAGCAGCCGGCTTTCCCAACTGGGACCCAGCAGCATTGCCCTGCCTACCTCTCACCCCTTCAACCCCCCCCAACCCCACCCCCCCCCGTTCTCTCCCACTTTCTCCCAGTGCCCAAAGCAATCGGTCAGCCCCAATCACCCTGCCGACACAGCAGACTGGCATTCAAAGGCCCTCTCCCTCCTCCGCCCTCCTCTCTCTTGGTGCCTTTTTCCGCCCCACCCTCCTCTTCGAGCAGTGCCTGGGGCAGTCCGCCTGCCCCAACTGGGACCTGGCAGTGTCGCCCTGCCGGTGCAGCAGACTGGTGTTTTAGAGGCCCTCTCCCTCCTCTGCCCTCCTCTCTCCTGGTGCCTTTCTCTCCCCCACACCCTCCCCTTCAAGCAGTGCCCAGGGCACTCCGCCTGCCCCAACTGGGGCATGGCAGCGTCACCCCCCCTCTCTCCCCCACACCCTGCCTGTGCAGCAGCCTGGCGTTTTGAGTTAGAGCTACAACAGATGCGCTGCTGCAGGTGGAGAGGATGGATGGGGAGTTGGTGAGTGGAAAAGGGGAATGGTGATGGTGAGTGGACAAGCAGTGGGGACGACAGATGTGCAAATATGCCAAGTAAGTACCTGATGTTATCAAAGAGATGTTGTTAACCCAAAACGAGTTTTGATTTCAATTTGTTCAGCTCTGTCCTTGATTGGTAATAGGGTACTCATTTATGTCTTCGTGATCCAGAAAATCCATGTGATATTTCTTTAACTCCCTAATGATCATCCCCACCCTACTCGTACTCTCTTCCTCCCAGGTCCGCTCCTTGTTTCCCCTCACCCCAAGCAGACAACACAAGAGTGTGCCCATTCCATCCCACCTCACTCTTCTCTCCCTCCTACTCACCTCTCCATCACCACCACAAATATCTCAGCTGCTGCCTCACCACTTCATTTCCTTCTTTGCTTTCCTTCTTCATCTCCTCTATGTGATGGAATCACAGTGCTTGCATCATGTGAAGATACAGCATGCAGGCATCAAAGTGGGTATAACGTCATAGCTCTTCACTCAATGGGTTGTGCAGAATTCAAGATTTTCTGCATCTCTTTGGTTAGGGCAACCGTGATCTGGCAAAATCTGTTGGACGGTATTATTTTCAGTGACCGTATTGTAGTGTCATGTAAAATTCAAGCCAAATGCTTCTGATTGCATGTTTGAATGGTAAGAAACGATATGCATTTGATTGACAAACAATAATGCTCGAGTCCACTTATAAGTAGTAATGTGGGATGATTGGAGGAAAGAACTCGATATCATCAATTCGTGGTGCTATATCAATCATGGAGGTGTGCTTGACTGCCCAGCATTTTGCCAAAGCATGGATGTTTATGAAAGAATCTAAACAATTTGCGTTTACGGAAATTGAACGTTTGTTCGAGAGAAACAGAGAGCACAATAGCGAGTCTCATCTGTGAGTTCTGGGTGGGAATGGAATCCTCTAACTCCCTCATGAGTAGGGCCAGCAGCTGATCACATGACTTGATTCCGTGCTCCAGTAGCCCAAGCCTTGTCAAGTGAATGTGTGTCCAGCGCAAAATCCAGTCAGATTAGCCCAGCCTAGGCTCCCTGAACATCCCTAAGAAACGCTCGTGTGAGATAATTTGTTGGATTTGGGCATGGTAGAACTCAGAAACGCGTCAGCAATATGCCATAGCTTCGACACGGCGTAGGGACTCTCATTGAGATTGGAAGCTCATCCAGCAACGCAAGCACGGCGGGTTCCTTCGTCTCGTCACCTCTAGCTCACAGGTCCGCGTAGGTCGTGATCCGTGTTTCTAGAATCTCGTGGGAGAACATTAGGAGCTGAGATACTGAGATCCGTACATGAGAGACTTGGTCATTTAGCCCTGGTCAACGAGATCTTGTTTCATATATTCTCTAATAGTTCCTGCGGGTTAATCCTCGGGAGTTTAGATGGAGCGTCTCTCACACATTGATCGACTCTCAGATGACCTCCTTACGAAGATTTTATGGTTCCAGGATACGTTGCCTTTCCCAAAAGGTTCTGAGTCTTCATGCGTTTCTCTTCCTCAATGGCATTTTAGGGCGAACATGTGATAAATGAGCGCGAGAATGAAAATGAGTAAGTGAAAGTTGGGTACAAATACAAACTCTAGAAAGCTGTACCCCATATGTGCTACCCCACTATAGCCTACAACAGCTATGTCATATATATCTGACACACCCCCATAGGCAAAGAGGGGGAGAACAAGGGGTCACAAGACTGTCAGACTGCGTTCTTGCAGGGTAGCCTGCACGAGGAGACCTGGCTGCGCCGTCCACCTGGCTTCACTGGGACTTTCCCTCCTGGCACCCAGTGGAGCCTCCGACGGCCAGTCTACGATCTCCGCCAGGCACCGCGTGAGTGGCACGACACACTGAGGACTACACTTGCGGCTCTTGGGTTTGCTCCCTCTATTGCTGACCCGTCGTTGTTTCTGCGCAACGACACTTCTCAGCCGCCATTCTACATCCTCGTGTACGTTGACGACTTGGTCTTTGCCACAGCGGACACTGCTGGACTCGCCTACGTGAAGTCCGAGCTGCTGAAGAGACACACATGCACAGACGTGGGTGAACTGCGCAGCTATCTTGGCTTGCAGATCACTCGGGACAGAGCACGCCGCACCATTACCTTGACTCAGTCACACATGGTGCAACAGGTCCTTCAGCGCTTCGGCTTCACGCACTCCTCGCCTCAGGCCACTCCTCTGTCTACTCGCCACTCGCTCTCAGCTCTGCCTTCGGATGAGTCCGTAGAGTCGAGTGGCCCGTACCCAGAGCTTGTGGGCTGCCTCATGTACTTGATGACCTGCACACGTCCTGACCTTGCATACCCTCTTAGCATTCTTGCACGCTATGTTCCTCCTGGGAGACACCGACCAGAGCACATGGCTGCAGCGAAGAGGGTGTTACGCTACCTGTGCAGTACGTCAGGCATGGGGCTAGTGCTTGGAAGGCGGAGTCCAGTGGTCCTTACGGGGCACGCGGACGCTTCTTGGGCTGACGATCAGGCTACGCAGCGGTCGTCACAGGGTTACACCTTCAGTCTTGGTTCCGGCTCTTTCTCGTGGCGGGCTACTCGCTCGTGTTCTGTCCTCAGCTCCAGTTGTGAGGCTGAGATCTACGCCGGGGCCATGGCTGCACAGGAGCTTTGCTGGCTCACCTACCTGCTGACTGACCTTGGAGAGCCGCCTCGTTCTCCTCCAGTGCTGTACGTAGACAACAAGGCCATGCTGGCCTTGTGTCGAGAGCAGCGCCTAGAGCACAGAACGAAGCACATTGCTCTCCGCTACTTCCTTGCTTGTGAGCTACAGCAGCGTGGACAGTTGCGGCTTGCGTACGTGGCCTCTGAGGCCAACACTGCTGACGTGTTCACCAAGGCACTTGCATCTTGTGACCATCAGCGCTTCTGCACTCAGCTGGGTCTTGTACCTATCTTGCCTCACTTGCTCTCCTCTTGACCTTGCTTGTACTGTCACATATATATACCTGCTCTTGCTTGTCTAGCTTTATATATATGTATGTACTCCTGCATGTGAACTGGCCTTGTGGCCTTGTCTTTGTGCTCGGACTGTATTGTGACTTTGTGATCCACCCTGAGCTTGCTCTGCTTTGCTTGACTGGTCTTGTGACCCCTTGTTCTCCCCCACTTTGCCTATGGGGGTGTGTCAGAACTTTATATATAGCTTATGCTGTTGTGTAGGCTATAGTGGGGTATCCCATAGGGGGTACAGCCCAATTAGGGTTTCCTATATGTACTCACTTCATTCATAGTGCATTCATTCGTGTTCTTCTTTTCACAAAGACCAGTCAAGCAAAGCAAAGCAAGCTCAGGGTGGATCACAAAGTCACCACACAGTCCGAGCACAAGGTCAAGGCCACAAGGCCAGTTCACATGCAGGAGTGCACATATATATGTATATATATATAACACTAAACAAGCAAGAGCAGGTATATATATATGCAAGAATACAAGTAAGATCAAGAGGTGAGCAAGTGAGGTAAGACAGGTACAACTCCCAGCTGAGTGCAGAAGCAGTGATGATCACAAGGCGGAAGTGCCTTGGTGACAACATCAGCAGTGTTGGCCTTAGAGGCCACGTACGCAAGTCGCAACTGACCACGCTGCTGCAGCTCACGAGCAAGAAAGTAGTGGAGAGCAATGTGCTTCGTTTTGTGCTCCAGGCGCTACTCTCGACACAAGGCCAGCATGGCCTTGTTGTCTACGTACAGCACTGGAGGAGAACGAGGCGGCTCTCCAAGGTCAGTCAGCAGGTAGGTGAGCCAGCGAAGCTCCTGAGCAGCCATGGCCCTGGCGTAGATCTCAGCCTCACAACTAGAGCCGAGAACAGAAGACGAGCGAGTAGCCCGCGACGAAACAAAGCCGGAACCAAGACTGAAGGTGTAACTCTGCAACGACCGCTGAGTAGCGTGGTCGTCAGCCCAAGAAGCGTCCGCGTGCCCAGTGAGGACCACTGGACTCCGCCCTCCAAGCACTAGCCCCATGCCCGACGTACTGCACAAGTAGCGCAACACACTCTTTGCTGCAGCCATGTGCTCTTGTCGGTGTCTCCCATGAGCAACATAGTGTGCAAGAATGCTAAGAGGGTATGCAAGGTCAGGTCGTGTGCAGGTCATCAGGTACATGAGGCAGCCAACAAGCTCTGGGTACGGGCGACTCGACTCTACGGACTCATCCGAAGGCAGAGCTGAGAGCGAGTGGCGAGTAGCCAGAGGAGTGGCCTGAGGCGAGGAGTACGTGAAGCCGAAGCGCTGAAGGACCTGCTGCACCATGTGTGACTGAGTCAAGGTAATGGTGCGGCGTGTTCTGTCCCGAGTGATCTGCAAGCCAAGGTAGTTGCGCAGTTCACCCACGTCTGTGCACGTGTGTCTCTTCTACAGCTCGGACTTCACGTAGGCGAGTCCAGCAGTGTCAGCTGTGGCAAAGACCAAGTCGTCGACGTACACGAGGATGTAGAACGGCGGCAGAGAGGTGTCGGTGCGCAGAAACAACGACGGGTCAGCAGTAGAGCCGCAAGCGTAATCCTCAGTGTGTCCTGCCACTCACGCGGTGCCTGGCGGAGACCGTAGACTGGCCGTCGGAGGCTCCACTGGGTGCCAGGAGGGAAAGTCCCAGTGAAGCCAGGTGGACGGCGCAGCCAGATCTCCTCGTGCAGGCTACCCTGCAAGAAAGCAGTGCTGAAGTCAAGAGAGTGAAGCTCGTAGTCGCGCTGAGCGGCTATGTGCAGCAGCACCCAAAGAGTGGTCGTCTTCGGGGTGGGAGAGAAGGTCTGAAAGTAGTCAACTCCTTGCCGCTGACTGAAGCCACGAGCGACGTACCGCGCCTTGAAGACAGGTGGAGAGCCCGGCGGCCGCTTCACCCTGAAGATCCACATGCCACTGACGATGTTCGCCCCAGGAGGGGGAACCGCGTCAACGTAGGTGCC